GCGCAGCGCGGCGCCGAGCGCGCCGGCGACGCCGCGCGCGGCGCGGGCGAGCGTGTTCAGCACGGGGTGGACTGCGCGGGCGAAGCAGCGGAGCACGCCGCCGAGCGCGCCGGTGATGCGGCGCGCGGCGCGCGCGAGGAGGCGCGGGAGATGGGGGATGATCTGAGGGGCCGCGCCGAGGCGACCGGGGATGATATAAGGCGCGGGGTTGAGCGTGCCGAGGAGAAGCTTGGCGAAGCGGCGGAGCGCGCACGGCGCGGCATGAGGGAGAACGCTGACTGGGCGACTGAGACGCTGCGCCAGTGGGCGGGCGAAGCGGAGGCGGCGGGCAACGCGGCGAAGGAGGCGGCCGGGGATGCGGCCAGGAAGGCTGGGGACAAGTTGGAGGAGGCTGCCGGGGCTGTGGTGAGTTGCATGGGGGGGATGGGCGTTGTGGCCTGGCAAAGGGCTTGCAGTGATGATGTGTCCACCATCTGCGCAGACGCCGCTGTCCCTGAAGAACCCGCTGCAGCTGCGCGCTCCCACGCTTTGCCCGTGCCCCCCAGCGCGCAAGGTATCACGCCTATCAAACCGCCAATCCGGATGATGCCATCCCTCTCCCATCCACATGGGTGAAGCTCACTAAATGCTCCCACCCTGCGGACCCTCGCCAACGCTTCCATGCCCTCCCCCCTCCCGACCAGCCCACCGGCGAGCAGGGCGCCGCGTCTGCCACCGCCGCGGACTTTGCGGCGGATGCGGTGGGCGAGAAAGCCGGCCCCCTGGGGGCGCAGGGTGCCGAGGCGGCCGACGCGACCAAGGAGGCGGCCAGCAGGGCTGCAGATGAGGTGAGTTTGTGTGTGAGTGTGTGTGTGTGTGTGTGTGTGTGCGTGTGTTGAGGGGAAGGTCGACTAGTAGTGGCATCTGGGTGTCAGCTGGCTTGTCAATCGAGGCTGTTGCCGTAGTTCTGGTCCTGGGTGGGGTTTAGTCATCTTGCTGGGGTTGCTCAATCTCAGATCTGCGTAATCGTGAGACTCTTGGCTGCAAGGTTTGCGGGAGAGGCAGCGGTCTGCTTGTGCAGCTGCATGGGCTGCGGCAAGTGTACGGTTCTGGATACTTCTGCTTGAGTCTGAGCTTCCAAGTCAAGGGGTCACTACTGCCAGCTGCCATATATCAAGGGGAACATCAACGGATTTATAGCTGGCCGTGGTGGCGTTACGTGCGCACTGCCATTGGCACAGCAACAGATCCCTCAACACCCCTTCTAACCCCCCAATCCCTCAAAACCCTGCGCGCAGGTTTCCCGCCAGGCGGATGCGGCCGCCGCCACCGCGGGCGGCCTGCTGTCTGGCCTGCGCAGCACGGCCGTGGCCGCCCTTGGGGCGATGCTGGGGCCCCTGGAGCGGGAGGGTGCGTTCGACGGCACCGCGGCTGTCGTGACGGGTGAGTCAGGGGTGTCTGTGGTTCCAAGGTACCCTGGGCAAGTGGTGGTTGTGCACAGGGCGTTCGTGGGGGGAGATGGGAGATTGTGGAGATTTCAGGGGGTAAAATTGTGTTGCTGCGCTGAGCAGCGCTGATTGGCCTGCTGTGGCACCCTGGAGTGGGAAAAGGGGTCGGTTGCCATTGCGTCTTCCCAGGCGCGATCCCTTGACCCCCTCCTGGGATTGTTATGGGTACTCCTTGGCTTTTCTGCCACCATTTTGCAGCACATGCGAATTGATTTTTGTGGGACACCTCTGCTGCACCACAGGCCTTTTTGACCGTCGCCCACATGGGGGTCGTGTATTTGACAGTGTCAAAGAACATGTGCAGATTATCATCAGACAGTGGCCCCTAAACTCTGAAGCACATTTCCCAAGCTTAACAACGCGTGGCACGCCCCCTGCCAGGCCCCTCCGAGCCTATCCCCGTCGAGCGGCTGAGTGCTGACGAGGCGGCGCGCCTGGATCGTGCGCGCGGCGCGGTGGAGGGGGACGCCGTGCGCGTCGCCGGGGAGAAGACTGACCGCGCGCTGGGAGTCCGCGATGCTGGCGGCCGCGACGCCCGCCGCAGCGAGGGCAGCGGCCCGTCGGCGGGGGCCCCTGTGGGTGATGAGGAGCTGGGCGTTGCCGACAAGGTCAAAGATCGTGCACAGGTGCGTGTTTGGCAGGTGCGTGTTTGGCTGTATAGACGCTTGTTTGAAGACACGGGCACAAAGGTTATGCTCTGGCCAACTGGCGGCTTGATGCTGCCATGAGACGGTGATTTAACCACCCGCAAATGTGTAATGCGAAAGTTGTGTAGTGCGTTGCTGCTGGCACCTCCCGCAGCCTCCTCTCTGTTGTTGCCTCTACACCCTTGATTTTTCTCAAGCAGCAAGGGACATACGACACCAAACGTGCGCCCTGGCCCACTTTGCACCCCTTTTAGGCCGCCCTCGACGACGCCGCCACCGCCGCCGGCGCCGCGTTTGGCCACGCCGAGGCCGCCGCCGCCCAGGCCGCCGAAGCGCTCGCGCGCCAGCAGGACCACGGCCCCGCCACGCTGCACATCGGCAACACCGAGGTCGAGCTGCGGGAGCCGTTTGCGCCGGCGGCGCCGCCGTCCAACACTGAGGACATTCTGGCGGAGCGCGCGCGCGCCGCGGCCGCGCAGGCGGAGGAGGATGCTGCGCGGGGGCCGGCGCGGGTGTGAAGGGGGAGGGAGGTAGGGTTGGATAGGGAGGCTTGGGTTTGGGTGAGCGGAGGGCTGTGCCGAGATTAAGTTGGGATGCGAGCATGGCTGTGATTTGGGACAGGCGGCGGGGCGTGACTCGAAGGACGCATAGCTGTGCAGCTTGGAGGGTTGAGGAGGGTGGTGGTGCGATCGTGTTGCTGCATTAGCCGTGCGCCTGGGGGCAGAGGTTGCTTTGGACATGGCTGCTCTTTGCAGTGCGCGACACTATGCACCAAATAGTGCAATTTGAGCGGAAAGTTAGCAAACGGCCACATGCCATCGCCCACGTGTGCACAGGCGTGCGTGCTGCCTTGGTTTGGTTGTCCTGCGACTTCATAACGGGTTTACATGGGGGTTTGATTCTTGCGATTCTGGGGCCACCTTTGGCGATCCTTGAGATGGAGATGCACACATGTGTACATCTTGAGCAGTTTTGGCTCACATTTGTGTCTCACCTTTGAGCCTTGCTTTACAGCCACGATCTTGCGTGCGGCACAAACACGTTTGGCAGCTTTTGAGTGGGTCCTTAAGGGCCCTGGGCCCTTGGCTTGCACATTAGCGCGCTGCCAGCAGCTGCCGATTGTATGAACGATGTAACAGTTGCTGATGAATGTTGACGACAGTTCAGGATTTTGTGTGCTTTGTCTGGCAAGGCTGGCCATCTGTGACAATTCGACCAACAAGCTGCGGTGCAGGTCAGCACAGCAGCTGCAACATACCGTAAGCACGAAGCTGTATCAGTGGTAATGCCCCCATGTACCACTGCTTTGAAACCAAATACGTTACCTACAATTGAAGTAAATAAATTAGTTACTGAACCTTCTTCGAATAAATCGATTGGATAAGCAACATATGCAATGTATTGATTATCTTCACCCGATGCAGGTCAGCACAGCAGCTGCAACATACCATAAGCACGAAGCTGTATCAGTGGTAATGCCCCCATGAACCACTGATACGTATACAATTTTTACCATATTAACCTTTTGAATGTTCCACTTGCGCAAAAATTTTCCCCTTTTCAGCAGCCGTCGGGCAAGCGCAGCAGGCACAGCACAAGCATCAGAGCAGCTGCGCAATCAGGTGTGCTTCCAACTCTGGCACATTCAAGTGTGCTCGTAGTCAAATTTTGGATACATAGACATTATGCTTTGATACGCTGGGCCGCCATGGAGGCTGTTCTCTTGTGTCGCAGTGCGTCAGATCGGCGCACGACGCTTTCCACGGATAGCAGCTCGGACGACGTATTTGTGGCTGTCGATGGAGATGGTTTCGCGTGCTATGACGCCTCCACCCTGGTGAGTGGGGTGAGAACGGCGTCCGGCGGCCCCATCACCCGCTATCCCCGCTCACCACGCCCTTTGGATCCGCATATGCAGGAGAAGCGTGTAAGCTATGCTCTGGGAAGCGTGCATGCCAGCTTCGCGGCCCCAGTGCAGCGCGGCAGCCACGGCGCGTTTGTCGTTGCCGTTCAGCCCGGCACTGGCGGGCCCCCCAGCCTTGTTCTGCTGCAGCCCGCCGCCGCGGCTGCCGCGGCGGCCGCCGCACCTGCGCGCTCGATCCTGGACGCCCAGCCGCAGGTGAAGCTGCCGGCTGCGCTGCACAGCGTGCACGCGCTCGGCGCCGGCGGAGGCCCCGTGGGCAGCGTTGCGGTCATCCTATCTGACGGCACCGTCGCCGGCGCCGATTTCGAGCACCACAAACTACGCC